GCAGCGAAACACACATTGACGTTAATTTCATACTATATACACGGTGCATTTGAGAAGGAGGGGTAAGAATACAGGAAAGAAAAACGAAACATGTCACCAAAGAATTACTTTTGAATTATCATGTAAATCTGTCGCGTCGTACTGGTGTAATATAAAATCATCAAGTAACGTGACCATGTCACTATTATATATATTATGATATATACATAATTAAGCATATTAATTATAGTTCTAGCCCATAAATAAGATATATTGGTATAGAAATGAGTAACTTATCAAGAGCCACAAACGTATGTACAAGAAACAAGTTAAGGAAGGAGGGTCGTGATGGGCACGAGCTTACAGCGCCATTTGTATAAAATAGTATGAACTAAGATACTAAATTTGACGCAAAATAATGTCATTGGTAGTGATGAAAACATTCAATAACCAGTGCGAGAAATATTTTGGTGTCCGTTTTCTGACCCCATCGACCTTGTCGTTTTCAGTAAATTATATACTTAGTCCGCAGTTTTAGCTAATATTTTTATTGGCTTAGTAGAATCTAGAAAAAAATTAAAACTAAAGCATTTAAGACTTATTGAATAGTGAAATGTATATAAATTAGGATTACATTATTATATATTTTTCTAATTATATCTGATTTCTTAATTATATTATTTATTGAGCTAACCAAATATCAGTGTCACAAATTCATCCAGCATAACATTATGTACAATACAAAAATATAATATTACAATATTGTAAAAACTGACTCAGTCCCTTTATCACCAAAACCGTCTTATTATTCAAGTAATATTTATTTTATTAATAAGCAACCACGCCAAGAGAAATTTCAATTAGGTAAACACTGACTATAGGTATGGTTAAATAATATTATACCACCATTTCTTCCATTTAGTATCGTGACCACCAAACTACAATATTTTATTTACTCTATATAATATTCAAATTTATAAAATTTGTCATATAATAATTAAACTCGCATGAAAATTATTTTCTTAATGACTTAATAATAATTTATAGAAACATTCAAAATGGGTAAAATACATAATATAATATAAATATAAAACAATAGATAATGTAACTCGACATTCGATGTATATCTTATTGATATTATTTATCAATAATATTTATTACATATTTATTGATAATATTATAGTTATATATTTCTTATGACTCTACTATATTATATACACGTTTTTGTCATAACTCTTTTGGTGGGAGTCACTTTGCGTGATGCGATTATTGTTTGAAACAGGGAATACTGTCAGATTTTTTTGTCTGTAAACGTCGTAGGATATTTTGTCCAGAAAACATAATTTTTTATACAAACTAAAATCTCATTGAAACTTATTTATATCGTACACGATCGTTTGATAAGACCTTACACAGTAATTTACGACTTTTTAACTTACCGATCCTATCTGCGTTATTGATGCATATGATGTTGTTATATTACAAGTCAAGGGTAAAGTGTAAACAAAAATCGAGAACATTACGTAATTGAACACGTGTCGATCGAAAAATAAAAAATATAAGAAACGATTTGCTTGTGAAAAATGTTACAAATAATAATGTTCATCATAATAAACGATTGAGTGCATATTTATCATCGTGCATACCATACGGATCACCGAATGGTKTGTGAGCTTATAATTTATTATTTAATAACGTGCATGTATTATAATAAAAATATAAATAAATTATAGTAATAGTATTTCAAAATAACATAATATCAAACTCAAACAAATTATTCTATATAATTCACCTATCGTTGTCGAATGATGACCAGGCGTGACACTGTAGTTCACTTATGTATAACAATACATAATATTATAATTTATAGATAATGACTACGTAAAATAATAATAATTTTAAAACGAGTATAATAGAAATAACCGTATTGTAGATACCTAATATGTTTGTAACCCTAACCTAATAACTCAATATTGTATTTTCCCATCAGCTGCACTTTTGCCTAGCCGATTAATATTTGTCCGAAAAACGTGCGACGGTATTATTATAATATTACCGTAAAATAATCCGTTGCCGTCCGTCCGACAGCCCGTCGTTAATCGTAATAGTAGTTGTGGTCCGTGCTATAGATATAGCGACGTGTATCGAAAGCGGGTATGAGTGGGTGCGGGTGATGGGTGTTTGGCCGGCCGTTGCTAAGGGAGTTGTGGTGTAAAAAATAAACCAGGCTCTGTATGATTGACGGCTTCATAAAATATTCATCGTCGCAATTTGGGAAATAATGATAAATAAAAAAAATAAACCCAACCGGGTGAATTGAATTCGAACGTATAATGAAAATCGATGCCCGTAACAAGCGGTTTCCAAAGCAAACTATAATATATACATTTAAAATACACTGTCGACCGTCTATATAATACTGATTCGATTTTTGTTTGTTTTCGTTATTTATGGGAACAATAATAGACTCGAGTATAAACATACACAAAAAATATAATAATAATAAACGCCACCTCTGCCGAGTGCTGTTACGCGAAATGTTTTGTTTGAATAATATTCGACTAAATAAGGATTGTTCGTTATTTGAATGTTTTAATGTTATTTATGTTATAGGTAATTCGTTTAAGACGGCTAGTGCTTATTCTTTAATATTAGAAGAGCGATCAAGATAGTCGGACGAAGCGAAGTTCACATCGAATTAAGAATTTAATAAAAAAAATAAAAAATACCTAAAATTAAATTTAAATAATAGATTTCCATAATTATAATATAAATAATAAATATATTATAATAAGTGTGCAGTACATTTTCAAAAATTATAAGGAATGGTTTTTTTCCTTTTTGTACATTACTCGTTTTTTTTTCGCGTTCATATAATTATTTTGTAAACAAAACACTGTAAGAGAAATAATTCTAAAAATGCAAGAGTGAGTGACGCTATTGTTATTAATTATTACTGAACAATGAACCATATTTAACATGGAAGACAGTTTAAATTTGTTTACTTAATATTATATTTCAATAAACCATTATATTATGGTTAAATGGGCATTAATTCATTATGCTGTTCCAAGTGCTCCAATAAACTATGATATTATGACCAAGTTTTCTGTTTTCCTGTAGGATATATACTAACAATAATATTACAGACAAGCTCCAAGTACGACTTTGTATAACCTCTTAACAAGTTTAAAAGTAATGTCCAAAATGTATTTTTACCATTACTTCAAATTTAATTATAGCTTGTTTTGAAATGCTCTATCTTACTGATTAAATTTTTGTAAGTTTTACGAGTTGTTTTTTATAATACCAAAATTACTTAGAACGGTTTATTTCATTATAATTATAATTCTGTTTTTCTTTTATTTAATAAAATAATATTAAATATTAAAAAAATAATTTTGTGTATCATCTAACTATTTCAGCATCTTAATTTACATATTTATGTTTTATAATTCGATTTTGAACAAAACTGTGGTACTTTTAGAGAGGTACCTAGTTCTTAAATAATTTTAGTTAAAATTCGTATATAATAAAATATTATCATAAAAGTAAGAGAAATAAACTTTTAACAGATGGCATTGATTATAATATAATATTATGTTTTAGTATATATATACATACATAATATTTATAATATAAATGAATATATTATATTTCAAACTATATTATTAATAATAACCAATGGGATGTACAATTATTTAGGAACACAATATATAATAAATATACGAGTGTATAAATTATACGCAACTAATATATGTCCTATATATAATTGGTATTGAGATACTTTTTAGCCAACTAACCACACCATCTATACAATGTAGTTTATATAATAAATAATAGTATCTATGTAAATAGTTAAATATTTTAATAAAATATAAATCATCATTAGTTTTGAAATATGAATAGATTTTATTTTTTGATTCTCATAATTTAATTTAATTTAATATGATCCTTGCGGTATGAACAATGAACATACTTGGATTTAGTTTGCTCATTTCGGTGTTCTTTTATGAGAACGTTACATTTTGATTATATCTGAAATTATGTAGGTAATTGAAATATTTCAATAGAGATTTCATATGAATTTTCAGTATAATGATATGTAATAGGTAATAAAATAACGTACTCTAATACACCTACAGGCTGCAATTAGGAAAATAATTTAGCATGTTTTGTATAACCTAATATTTTTATGCATATTATATTTTGATGACTTCATATAACGAAACAAAAATATGAAAACAATAAAATAAAAAATACTTGTTGACTTTATATTTTTATGTTGTCATTTTTCAATTGTATGTTCAAAAAGTAGTTGAAAAAATTATAAATTAATTTTATATTTTGAATTAAAATTAAAATAATTAAATGAAATCAATAATTTTTACTTATTGTTTTAAATAATAAATTATACATAGTACATTTTGACTTAGTGTTAAATTGATAAGCTATTATATCCTAAGAAAATAACTTCCATGTATTAAATCATTACATTTCACTTTGTAATTACCTTAAATGGTTAGAACAGTGTTTGTTAAAAAAAAATACTCAACTTAAAAACACAAATAATATTTTTTTATAAAAACTATACATGTAAAAAAATTTTAAAAATATGAACATTGGTCTTTTGATGCATGGAATTAATAGATTTATGCATAGTTTATCGTTCGAACATCAAACGGTTCTCAAATGAATCTAACGATTAATTAACTCCTCCTAAGCAGCTGGACCAACTTGAATGAATTGTTTTGTATGCGTTTGGGTAACATCCCGGATGGTTTAGATTCGCAAATCAATTCATCTCCCTAACCCCGTGAGATGCTTAAACAGACATTTTGAGATTTACGAAGGAAATTTTTGTTTATAGGTTGTTTCTGTTAGTGATACTTACCATTAGTGTGAAAGAAATTATTTTCCTTAAATGTTTTATTATTTTTTCCATGGCACGAGCGTCTATGGTATTACAAGATATTTTGTATTTTTGTTGTTATAACAACGCCATTTCTATGCAATTGCAGTTATGCCTCCCGAAAAAAAGATCTATTAGTAGTTCTACGCCTCAAGCACGAAATAAAATGGCAATATGAGCTTCAGGCACAATCTAGCAAAGACATGCAAGATTGGGAACCTCCAGGGACCGTCAAGCATAATTCCATTTATCTGAAACAACTGAGCAACGAGATGCAAGATTGGAAACCGATATGAAATATACGAGTGTACATCTACAAAATGATGCATCAGCTGATTTCGAAAAACAATTGCTGTAAATGGGGAATGGTAAGCTAGCTATCGATGAATCAACACAATGCATCACATTTCCAATTAATTTCTGTAAAAAAACAGCAATAACCAATCAGTTAATTGACAAAGTTTTCCCAAATCTAACACAAAATTATGGAAATCGTCAGTGATTCATTGCACGAGCTATATAGGTGTAAATACCTACAATCGATAACACCATGCCAAACGAAATTAAAGGCGAAACGATAACGTACCAGTCCATAGATACCGTAATAAATCAAGACGAAGTTGTCGATTAACCAACTAAATTATTATCTTCACTTGATTCGTCAGACACTTTCTAACATTGAAAATTTTCGAGCCCATCATTCTTCTATGAAACATCAATTTAGCAAGATTATGCCACAGTATGAGGCTTTCAGTGAAAAAGTAGATGAACAACATTATCGAAGCTACAATTTTAAACAGAAGTTTAAAGACGAAGATATACTGTTGTCACGCATCCCAATGATTTCAACAAATATGCTTTTTGAATTCAAACGTTTGCAGTTTCCGGTGCGACTCACCTTTGCAATGATCATTAAAAAATCACAATGATAATCGTTACAAGTGTTATGGACTAAATTTGGAAAATGCAAATGTTTCTCACGCGTCCAAAAATCTTCTGATTTATTTGTGTATGCACCAGAAGGAAGAACAAAAAATATTGTGTGTCCAAATACATTTCAATAAATATCATTCAACTGGATACTTGAATTTCAGACTTTTCTCGATAAAACGAATAAAATTACATAACAATAAACTAGATTGATTATCAGTTTAAGATAATTACTTGGTATATTTTAACCATTATGTATAAAAAAAATACTACAAGCATAATCACAAGTAATGAATTCAACACACAGCTTGAGACATTTAAAAGGTAGGCTTTTAACGGGCTACAAAGTGTACGGGTTCAGCTAGTTTATTTATAAAATAAAAAATAAATTGATAAATTGATTTTAAGAACGTAGCCTTTACAACTAACTTTTTAAGTCGAACAAATATAAACAATATAGGTTTTGGTACATTTTTTTGTAATTCATTATTTGGTAGCTTATAAATAAAAATATATTTATCAAATGTTCATAATATATCTGTTATATATATATAATATATTATGCTTAAATTTTAAATAAATATTAATGAAATATGAGTACATTTTGAAGTACCTACCAATTAAATAGATTACTATAAAACGAATAATAACTGTGCAAATAATGTATAATAGATAAAACATGAACATGCAATATATACATTTTTCTATAATGAATATGGTATTTATATAAGATATACGAGTATTAGATTTTATCTAATTACAACAATTCTAGAATGTTAGAAAATCGTTTGATTCAATTGTACAATTATTAAGTATACCTATTAATAAATAAAAGTAAAACTTGTTAGACTGACTCATAGATATTTTGAATCAAATCGCTGGACTCTGTTAGAAACCAATCAACAATTTATTTTAAAAGCTTTGAAGGAAAACAATCATGACCACTTAATAATGCTTGAATCAGGCCTAATATGATATCAGTGATATCTCATTAAAATACTATTCTTTGTATTTGCAACACTCAAAGAACTTTTTTCAATTACTCAACAAAGTTACTTACGTCTTATAACTGTAAAAAATAACTCATTTAAAATCGTTTCTCCCCAACTGAATTTGTCGATAAACTCGGGAATATGAGTATCTTGAAAGGCACATTAACTCATACAACACAATATACTATAATATATAATATACAATATATATACGAGAACCTTGGTACAAGACACGATATAGGTACCTACTCACTCTAAAAAGGTTGTATTTTGTAACTTTTTAAATTAATCTTGTCGAGCGGAAAACTTTTTTCTGTCATATATAGCAGTACTATGGTGTTGTAGTTATTGTATCATCTTCTATATAGCTGTACTCGTATATGCTATTATACATAAAATGGTACGCGTATATCTTTGTCCATACGTTGTCTCAAATGAATGAAGAAAGGTATTTTTCCAGTAACTTGTATAACTTCCACCTACTGTCATGCAATATTCATTTATATAAACATACTGATATAGTTTATTATAGTATTATGTGTGCTTCTTTCACATTGTGTGCTGATGGTACTGTCGTATATTTATCGTTATTATATTTTTCTCTATTATTATACCTACTAAAATATTTAAAAAAAATTCCTAAATTTCAACCATCATACATTAGAGTTTTTTAGATTCTGAACGAAGTGATGAATGTATTGATTTTACAATGATGTGTGTTTTTTTTTTTTT